ATTCTTTGAATATAGTTTTACGCATGACTTGAATCAATGTATAAAATTAATTTAAAACTACCAGTAACAAAGAGTGTCTGATTAATGGAAAGGAATAAGGGGAAAGGCCTCTGTCCTAATCTTGGATAAGTGCTAACCCATCAAACAAATTTCCTACTGTAACAGAGACAATAACAATAATTTAAGGAATATCAAAATCACAATTAGCTGCACAAACAAAAGATCTGGAAAAAAACCCAACAATCTGGTGTGACTCCAATAAAAGTTTTTTCTGATAATCTAAAGCTTTGTGTGTGGGTTTTTTCTCTTAATATTTTTTTTAAAAACTACCTTTTTCCCCCAAATTTTAGACCTTCTATTTAGAAAATTTTCAACCAGGATAAGTTGATAATTCCAAATGTTATTTCACAAACAGTTTTTAAACAAGTGGCCATCAAAGCTGACCACTGCACAAAGAAATCAGTGTCACTCAGCCAGTCTGCTTCTGGCAAGGGAAAAACAAGGTTAATTCAAAAAGTTCCAGCTGTCCCAGAACCCCAGAGAGGAATGTCTTTTTACTGTAACCCAAACAGTTTTCAGCAAAGCCATTTTGAGTTTTGTTGGTGAATTGGTTGGGGTTTTTTACCCCATGTAGCCCCAAGTGCTGTGAGCCGGCGAGGAGGGGCTGCCTCCTGGGGATGGGCTCCTGCTGCCGCCGTGCCGAGGCAGCAGCCCCGGGTTTAAGCTTCTTTTTGGTGTGTTGGTTAATCAGGAGCACACTCAAAAACACCGATCAACAGTCTCAGTGAGATAATGAAAATGATCCTGCATGTGGGTGTTTGTGGGGTCAGTGCCTCCTTTCATTATCAGTTATACAAACTATATTAGAGGACACGTACACTCTCCTCAGTCTTTCTCCAGCAAATACACGTGGCTCCCACTGATGCTGCTGCTGCAGCAGAAATAACTTAAAAGATAAAACAAATGCCCCGTAGATGGGGTAATGCAGCCCAAGAAATGCTGCATGTGGTACTCAGGTTGGAGCTGGGGTGTGCATGTACTGCAGGGATCAAATGGTCTGGCCTGTACCGAGCACAACTGCAGGCTCTGCCCAGGGTGGAAGGCTCCAGCAAAGACCCTTCAGCCTTTTTCTGGGCCATCCCCCAGCAGAGATAAGCCAACTGATCCTTGTTTGGATGACTCATGTGCTCAGCTAATTGGCTAAATGTGGGCCAGACCTCTGGTTCCCTCTTGCCTTCATAGTTTGATGAGCTGGGACCAAATGCAGACAACCACAACCGATCCCACAGGGCTTTGTCTCCTCCAGCTCTACACAGATGTTTAATACTCCAGTTGCTCATGCAAAGGTGGTGTTTCCCCCCCTCCAGATTTCACCTTCAAAAGCTCAGCACATCCAACCCAAATGAATGATAGCTGTGGATCCCTGGCAGCATTGTGGGTGAGAGAGATGAGAACAACCACAGCACCGTCCCCTGTGACTCCCTGTGCCTTCAGCTCCAGGCAGGACACAGACCAAAGTCACTCTGCCTTGGTCTGCATTTCCTAGATACAGGCAAACATAGAAAAACATTTCTCCCTGACTCCCATTTCATGTTTGGGACTTGCTTTATTTTGAGAGCGAAGGAAGGGGGAAATGACTTTCAAGGCATCTTAATGCAATTTCATCCCTGCTCCCAAATAAGTATAATACAAAAAATTAAATCAGCCTTCAATGTGATATGGATGGCCCCAGGATAAAGCTGAGGTGATGTCAGTCTACAAAACATAACATTACGTGTCATTACTTCATGTCATTACTTATTGATTTAATTCCGTCATATTTCAGACAACTTTTATTGTCTAGGTACAAATCATCATATTAATAACTGGAAGCACATATGCAGATATCAAAAACACCTTCTGCCACTAAACCAATTTTTAAAATGAATCCAAAAGAAATATTTTAAGAGAAAACTCCTCCAGAATCAATTTTCCAGGGAAAAGAAAGGCCAAGCAATGGTTTTTCTGGTTCCAGTGTAACATATATTCTCATTTCATATTGAGATTCCTTTTTTACTTTTGGTTTGTTGTTGTTTTTTTTTTACAGGAAAGATTGTTCAGAAAAGGGGGAAGTTGCTAGTTTTGAAAACAAGGTATAGCTAAATATTCTATCTAAACATATTCCCTCAAATGTGCATTATCATCTCTTCAACTTCACTGGGGAATATTTTAGATTATTAACTGAATAAAGTGAATATTATAAAATGGTTGTCTTAGAATTAAAGTTCATAATAGTGATGTGTCATAAGAAAATAGAAAACAGTTTAAATATCAACAGTGATGACTATTATTATTATTATTATTATTATTATTATTATTATTATTATTATTATTATTATTATTATTTTGTGGTTGATTTTTCCTATGCAGAAAGCCTGAAAAGAAAAATACACACTGCAACAAACTGTAAACCATTAAAGGTTTGTACACAGCAATGCCTTCTGAAGGAGTTTAACTTTGTAGACAAAGTTGTGTGAATATTAAATAACAAGCTCATTCAGAATAAAAAAAATCTGACTGTAGTATGAAACAGAATTGAAACAAAAGACTTGCCTGAAATTTACATTAGAAAAATATGTATTATTTTATTTTAGCATTCTTCTGGCAGTGATAATCTTTTAAAGATATTTCCAAAAATGCATGTTCTCCAAGTTCCATATTTTCCCATGTTTTTTTCCTTCTTTCCTTTTTCTGGCTTCTTTTCTCTCCATTGCTGCAGATGTTTCTCTGTGTTCTCATACACATTGGACTGCAGAATGGGAAAATCCTGCAGCACCACAAATTCTCAGCCCAATCCTAGAGCAGCAGATTTTGGATGCAGCAGGCTACTCATATTCTCCCTTAACAAACTCCCCAGCAATGCTGCACCCAGAGGAGCCAGCCTCGAGGAGCACTGTCCCCCATCAGGTACCAGAGCTTGGGGTGTGTTGTTGCAGATGTCCCACAGGCAGCCCGGACCCCAGGGCCACGTCAGGGGGTCCCTGCCGCTGCTCGTGGCTGCCTGCCCTTTTCAGCCGTATCCTCCGACATCCTTTGCTCAGTAACTCCCAGTGCTGGAAGGAAGCAGCAGAGCAGGCTGAAGCCAGCCACGGGGCTGGGAGTTTCCCCCAAGGAAGCTGATGAGAGTTTTCCCACCCGTTTGATTTTCCTCTGAGAAGGGCTTGCCAGGCTGGGGACGATGTCCTGCAGCAAGGCTGAGCACAAATGGAAAACAGTGTCCCCACAATAATCCCCCACATGATTGTCTCTAAAATGTACTCTTGCACATTTCTTTAGATTCAAATTCCCCTTTTTGTATTCAGTTTCAGACACAGATATCTGTAGATCTGCCTCAGCCCAGGTGAGACCTCATTCCAAGGTCTTATTCTATAAATTATTCTACATGAGTTTAAGGCTAAGCCCCTGCACAGTCCCGGCCACCCCCAGCAAGCCCCCAGAAAGGCTTTGATTAAAGCAAGTGCTAAATGCACTGCTGGGTTGAAACCTGAAAATGTTTATAGGACCAGGGATTAAAACACAGCATATTACATCTGGAGCTTCTAAAGCCAAGTGGACCTGAGCAAAGTCAAATGGAAATGCTAACTCTATTTTTATTTAAAAAAAAAAAAATAGCACAGGCTTCAGCAGTAGTTGTGATATGCTGTCTCCTCTTGGGGAACTAATAGACAGGGAACAGCAAGGCTTTAAATGATTTATTCAGGACCCTGGAGATTTTTTATTTTCTTTTTCATTTCCACATAAATTACACAAGCACTTTATAAAATGAATACACATAAAACACCTTGTAAGTGCATAACTTAAAAAAAAAACAAAACAACAAAAAAAAGCAAACAAACGAATGCCTTTAAAAATCTCACTGAAAATAGGTTTTCTGGTTGCTTGTTTGTACTAACTGCTTAAATTGGCAGTGCTGTTTTAGATTATAAGTAACTGAAAAATATATATTGTTTTTATATATATATATAGCTATATATTCCTGGCGTTTGCTAGAAGTGCTTTGTTTAATTTTGTCTCATTCTCTTGGTACAATTAAAAGAATAACTAAGTTAAACAGCTGAGAGTGAAATCAATTTTTTGTTGTCAGGAACTGCCTTCTAACTGGAAAATGATAAAATAAAACATTGGACAACATTTTGCAAATTATATGGAAATATTCCATGGAAAGAAACTGCATTACCCCCACAAACTGCCACCCAGGTCTTCTCGTTATTAAAATACTCGCTGATGGGCACAGAGTCTGTGGCAGCCAGGGACTGTTTGGGTTCTTCATACAATTGAGATATCATATTTACCGTCCTCAGGAGTCTGTCAGATCCTTCTCTTGTTCCCCTCTCGCAAGAAAAAATTAATGAAAAAGGGGAGGAGAGACAGCGAGGTGAGATCTGAAGGGTTCCCATCTGGCACAAGCAGAAATTGCTGCTGTTTCCTCCATTTGTTGCACCCCCGAATGTCTCTGGTGCGGACAATCCAAGAATGCTCACAGCAGAGACAGTGTTTCTCAGGGAGCCTTCTCCTTTTCTTTCAAGCCAACAGTTCAAAGCATATATCTATATATATCTATATATAGATATATATAGACATACATATATATATGGTTATACATAGACTCTGCACTGCTGCCAGTAGAATCCTAAGGAAGTTTTCCTCTCCCCCAGCTGGATGATCACCAGCGGCTGTGTCTGTCAGGGCTGGGCTTTTGTCTGGCAGCACGTCAGCAAGTTCAGGATCGACACTGGAGACTTTCAGGAGAACAAAAGGATTGGGGGGAGGTGAGACAGCATTGCTGCTCCAGCAACTCCATGGCTAGGGAGAGTTTTTGGGGTGACTTTCCTTCTTTTTGTTCCTTGTGGAGGGCTTCCCCAGCTGGATACATAGGATGCTTGTGGCCAGAGGATTAGGGGGTTCCAGCCCTCCTTGGGGAGAAACAGTGTTGCTACATGTCCCACCAAGGATGCCTTGTGTCTCCCTGGGGACAGCCCCGCCAGTCGAAGGTGGAGGTGCCACCAGTGGGTGCCAGACTTATTCACAAGCAGAGGCGACAGTGGTGACACTGGTGATCTTGGTGGAGTCATCAGACCAAGGCTGGAGATTCTGAAGAGCGAAGAGAGAGGAGTTGTGGACACAGATGGGGTCGGCTTGGATGGGCTGGTTGATGGTTTTTTGGAAGGCTTCCTGCTGCAGCTGCATGAGGATGCGGTTTGCTTGCTGCCGCTCAGCCTCCCGCTCCTCCGCTGTCTGCCTCCTAGGAGAGAGGGAGCCATTAGGGGGGCCTGGGGAAGCAAGGGAAGGGTGTCCCCAGAGACATCAACTTGTGCTGGGTGCTCATGATGTGGGAGGGCAGGGGTAGGAAAAGACGGTGCCTTGCCATGGCATGGTCCCACATCCCCTACACAAATGGCCAGTAAATCCCATAAACTGGGATTTAAATCCCAGTAAATCCCATAGACTGGGTCGGTCTGTTTTACTGGCGTCTGCAAAAACACTGCTCTGATCAAAGAGAGTTGGGAACAGCCCACAGCTCTGGATTACTTTCTGCCCACAGGAAAAAAAAAACAAGCGGGGACAAAACACCCAAAGTATCACAGAACAGCATTGCAAAGGTTGTGATCCCCTGAAACCATGTTCTGGTCTAACAGCAAGAGCCAAGCATGCAAAGCCCCAGGAAGAAGCATGGAGCAGGGTGGGGTGAGGCAGTGACTGGCAGTGCCACACAGCTGGGAGATGGGCAATGTCATTCTGGACGTCCCATTTCAGCATCCAGGTTTGCCGCCTTGTCTGCCATGCTGTGGTGACTAGCTGTTGAGAGCTTGGATAAAGGCAAAAACATTTCCATAGCAGGCAGCAAAATTTCAGCTAAACACTAGAAACACATTTTTTAGCAGTAACAAAAATCAAAGCACAGAATATACTATCTGGAAAGGGTGAATGACAGTGCTTTTCAGAACACTTCGGGCATGTGTCTGCCTGGTATCACCAGCAGAAGTGATCCCCAAGGAGTGGGTGTAGGGGGTCAGAGGGGGCTCTTTCCAGTGTTAGTTGGGCCCTGGCCCTGGGCTGCCCAGGAGCAGAGAATGGGATAGGTAGAAATAGCCTGAATCCTCTTATATCCACAATGGAAATGCCAGTCCTGCTTGCTTGGATGGCAGGTCAGTCTAAAGTGCAAACAGATGCTTGCACTCACCCCTACTTCAGCTGGAACCTCTATTGATGCTGCTGGGAAAACCTGGGAGCTGGGAACTCACAGTGCTGGTCCTAGGATGACTTCCAAAGCATCCCCTCCCTCCCTCACACCCCCAGTTACAGCTGACATCCTCTCAGCAGCTTCAGTGGACCAGTGACACAGGAAATGGCAGCTTTTTAATTTAGCAGCTCAGGGGGGATGTGAGATGTCTCATCCCCTTTGGCCATGGGAATTGGAAGTGGCAGCTCTGATCTCCACAGTGGCATCTCAGAGCACAGGGCAGAGGTCCCTGGCTCCCAGTGGGGAAGCAGGCTGGCACCTGGATGCCAGCAATGGGCCTCTGGGCACCCAAACCTCCAGACACGTGGCCAGGGTTCCCTCCTGGGAGCAGGTAGTTCAGGGCTCAGTCCCTGTTCTAATCACTGTGTCAACATCTCACATCAGACATCCCGGGAAGAGCGGGCTCGGAGCTGCACCTGCCTGGGGAGCAGCTCAACCTCTGCCTCAATGAATATTTAATGACTCCCTGAACAACGAGGAGATGCTCCAGGAGGAGGGAGGGAGCCCCAAGTCCAGGGTGATCAGGAGTACCATGGCTGTGAGCACCTTGCTCCCAAGTGTTTCCCTGTTGCGAGCAGCTGGTCTAGTCATGGATTCACATCAGAATGGGATTTCCAGGTTCATACCTGCCTGGAAAGAGCTGTGTCTAAAGCAAGAACCCAAATCTGAGGAGGGGATCACACAGCCACCTCCCTGCAATGGAGACAACCAGGCAAGGGGCAGGGACAAGACTCTTCCCCCCAATCTGCATTCAAGCAATTTAACTGCTCAGAGAGATTATGGCAACTCTATTTTCTTGGATACTTGAACTGCCTCATTCAGGCTGAGCCTGCAGCAGCTCTTTCCAGCTCCCAGTGCCCCAGGAACCACTCAGAGCCCACTGCCCAGTGCAGGGCCCTGAGGCATGAAGCTGGGTGTGATATCAGCCAGGGGCACCCACATCTCCGTCTCAGCAGGTGCAGATGCATACAAGCAGAACTTACGTGCCTGCGTCCCTCTGGCTCAGGCCAGAGATTCTCCCATGTCTAATATTACAACTGAGCTCTGGCTGCAGCCTCTCCCTTAGGCAGAAGCAGGATTTTGTTTCTCTTTACCCAGCTATTTTTTGTAAAACACGTGAATAGGTTTGTATCCTCTGCACCTCTGCCAAAAGAGGCTGAATTTAGCCAACAGACGCAAAGAGTATTGACAGATGGATTTGCCTCACTTCCTTAGGAAACCTGGTTAGAAGACACAGCTGACCCCATTTTGCAGGCCACAGCAAGACTGTTCCTCCTCCAGGATTCTTTTTCTGGCCAACAGAGATCACTCCAGCTAGAGACTTCCTAACAGTTCGGGAATTGCACTACCATAGGTTCTCTAGGCAAGAACTAGAAGAAGAACACTAGGGTTGAGGATTCACACCCCCTCTTGGTTTCAAATTCCTTGACTCCCATTTCTTACCCAACCTCAGCATACTCAGGCAATCACCGTCCTGTTAACCCTCGGGAAGAATTTGGGGAAGTCCTTTCCCCCCATTTTGAAGAAGCTGCCTGCCTGCCCTCCAGCACCCAGCAGCTCAGCAGCCAGCCCAGGGCAGGAGATGTTCTCAGGGCTGGGGTGTCTCCCTCGGGAACATCCCCGGAACGTGCAGCTTGGGAGGGGCAGGGTCACTGCGACGGAGCCCTGGAGGCTCCGTGTGAGCCCAGCCTTCTCTTCCTCTCCGGCTTTACCGGCACGCCCGGCAGCAGAACAAAAAGAAAGCGTTTGGGCAAGGAGGCGCCGCGAACCCCACGGGGACGAAAACCTCCGCGCTGTGCAAAGCGCGGTACTCCGACAGCCCCGGGCCGGGGGCTGCCACTCACCGCTGCCGCGGACAGAGGCGGGGGAGCCCCTCCACCCTCTGGTGCCACTGACTGCACCCACTGCACAGGTGTGTGCTCACACACGCTCATCCTTGTGGCATACCAGCACGCGTTTTTGCACGCAGGGCCGGTGTGCTCACACGGCCCGCACCACCCCGCGCTCGCCGGGCTGTGCTGTGCACACTCACACACACACACACATGAACACACACGCACTTCGCACTGACCGTGCAGTTACACTCGCTTGCACACAGGCCCGCAGGTGTGCACACACCACATGCACACACAAACCGCTGTGCATGCACACGCACGTGTACACACACAGTCACATTCACACACACGGGGCTTGCACGCCTCTGCGCTGCCATCAGGGCTCCCGGCTGAGCTGCTGGCAGCAAGGTCTGTGCCCCCGGACTGCCCCACCTCGGTCCATCGAGACCCCGGTCCCTCACCTCCACTTGGTGCGCCGGTTCTGGAACCAGGTCTTCACCTGGGCGTCCGTCATCTTGAGGGCCTTGGCCAGGGCAGCGCGCTCGGCCGAGGCCAGGTATTTCTGCCGGTGGAAGCGCTTCTCCAGCTCGCAAATCTGCAGCCGGGTGAAGGAGGTGCGCGGCTTCTTCTTCTTGGGGGGCGTGCGGTTCTGGTAGGGGTGACCTATACGGCGTGTTACAGTGAAGGGTGAGAGGGCCACTGGGGGGGACACGGGAGGAGGGGGGATGAGAGGCAAAGAAGCAAGCAGCGACACATCAGCAGAGGGGCTCCGGCTCCCGGCCGCTGGGCTGGGGATCTCCCCCCACCGCTCCGAAGCC